GATTGGGGATCAACAAACGATGGGTGGGTTGCATGATGGTCAACCAGCGTATCAGTCTGTTGCCGACCGGAGAAGAGCGCAATCGCTAAAGAGCGGAGAGAAACGTGGATCAGGACTAGTTAGAGCGATGCTCTGCTACAGAACCCATGACTCAAAAGCAAAAAGACAGTTGGACAGACACCAAGGCTGCACCACTTTTACGAGGGAGTCAAGAGGACTTGCAATGATATGTATGTATTAGGATGGGTGGTTACGGCTCTTTCCTAGATGGTATTGGTCAGACTAACTACGAATGTCACTAACTACTCGGCGACCAAGCTTATCAGGTGGTCGTGAGCATGGGAGTGACCCGCCCGTCGCAACGAAAACTGCCTGGAGACTGACCCGCGGCAGAGCGGCACACCAAAGGATGCAGACGCGCGCGGGTCGCGCACGATGAGCACTCGTTTGCTAGTCTCCGCAAAGTCCGACAACAGAGATTGGATGGTGCATGTGGCTTGGCTGGGAAGGGCATGCAGCGAGTACGGAGTGAAACACATTTTGGTAGCCAAAGGCTCACAGACGCTGCATGCATCTGCGCCAAGACTCTTGAATTTGTAAGAGGGGGTCTGGCATTGGCTTCGATTTTGCCGGCACCAGAGACGAAGCTGAATGCGAGAGGCTCGAGGTTATGGCGTCCCCAAGTCTACGCGGAGAGAGCTCTGACAGTCGCCGCAGCAAATCGTCGGTTATTTGAGGACCAAGACTGATATTGGACGAACAGTACACGAACGCCGAACGGCTGGGCAGGTGGCACACCACGCAGTGAGCACGGTTCTTGTCAGAAGCTTGTTACCACACTGACCACTGAGCAGCAAGTGCGGGAGGCGTTCCAGCAACGGGCAGTTCTGGGGAAGCCCACAAATAAAGGCGGACATTTCGGTATGCGGGCAAATCGAATCACGGCTTGGGGCGGACAAGTCCGAAGTGCCCTTTTACGTTTTACGTGGTAGAGAGAGAGGCCGTGCCCGACAGGTATTGTAATGGCTTTGGATTTAGCATGCCATGTTTCTGGAGCGCCAAAGAGGATTGGAACAGTAACAAAGGAACCGCGGAGAAAGACCGAGTTTTCTAGTTATGTGATCAAACCCAAAATTGAGCTAGGGTTCTCGCAGACAGAGACGTGAGCAGGGGCACGCTAACCCGAAGCTGGGCGCAAGGAAGGGCTGGTTTGCTTGAGGACGGGCGACAAATGACTGCTGGCGATGAAGGGAAATGTCTCTGAAAGCTATTTCTGGGTGGTGTAGGGATACATATGGCCCACATCGCAGCGGTCCCTGTGAGCTGGGGTTGATAGCTCCACCAATGCCAGCGGCACCTGAGCTTTTAAACGTATTTGACTCGGTTTTTTGCAGGATGGAAGGGCAGAAGACGATGCAAGGTGGCGGGTGAAGAATGCAGGAAAGCGGAGAGAGGGTGAGAGAGGACAAAGACGAAGAAGGATGTGATGGAGGCTAGGCTGACCAACGAACTCTCGGGTTAGACGGCATGGGCCAGGAAATGACGGTGCGTCGTGTGGTATCACTGGGCAAGGCACGAGTATTGGAGCTGCTGCGGGTGGCAGTGTGCAGCAGAGCGAACAGAGACCAAGCGCAGGTCAGTCGGCAGCAAGCCAAGACGGATGAGCGAGCACTCGACCTGCCTGTGACAAGGTAAGGGGATGGATGACTGGGGTTGGAGGAAGCGGAGGAAGCATCTCTGCATCTGAGAGCGGCTCACTGGTGGAACGCGGGTTGATGGGACCATTACTACCTCTCTACTAACTACTAACTAGTACAGATACTGGTACTCCGTAGACGACGATGGGTGCGGTGTGCAAGTACAAAACAGGTTAGCGGGAGCAGAGACGTCTGGGCAATCTGCAATCTGCTAGTTATCCATCAGTCACTGATCATTCAGGGTCAGAACGCACCGTCGGTCTGTCGTGACTCGTGCCACAGATGGGTTACCAACTCGAGCTGGAGGTTGTGTATGTACTGGGAGTGTTGGTGATGGGCAGATGGTGCGGGCAGATACATGTGGTGCAGCAGCTCAAGGCGAGCCCCTGGCGCCCCCCCAGACGCTTCCCCTGGCACATGAGGACAAGGCTGGTCGATGCCAGTGAGCGAGGCTGGAGGACGGATGAGAGATGATTACCTGCAGCTACGGGGAGTTTTTAGCGGTGCGGCATGGCTGGACGGGGAGATGCGGGCGTTGTGCGTCAAGGGGTGGCGCTGATGGCAGCATTGTGAGGATTGATTGATGATGATGGTTTGGGACAGGATGATGGACGATTGGGACGGCGGATATGGTACCTGACGAAATCAACGTGGGAGATGTGGATGGGCTTGCAAACAATACGCACTGGTACGAGACGCGGCCGGTCGGCTGTTGTCTGTCCTTGACATTGCTTGATGGGCAGAGGATTGGTACTGGTAACTACTGGTTGAGCGGGCGCAAAGGTCAGAATGGTTGAGAGGAGAGAAAAGCTTATCATGGCGGATCCGCGGGCAGGCAACTCCATCCGAGGGGTCGCCGGAGACTACTAGGTACTGGTATGGCTAGTTCGGTTTGGACCAGTTGAAAAACGAGTCACGAGTCTGAGGATGGTGATGGAGGTCCTTGGTGAAAGGGTGCTGGAAGTGGCATTGAAATTGGATGGCGAGGGAAAAGTTGCGATGCTGTCTTTTTCCCGACATGTGTTGGACGGTCGTTGACACGGAGGCGGAGGAGGAGGATGATGATGGTGGTGTTGGTGGTGGGTGGTGGGCGGTCGGCTGCAAGCCATATCTGTCGCTCCACAAGACAATGGAGGGGAGGTGGGCACGGAGTAGTTGAGTGGGTAACTGTGGTTTCTTTGTTCATTATCGAGGCCTGGTATTATTATTGGAGGATGAAGTGCACACAGTAGCATGTGTACCATGTAGGATGTGTGTATGCGTGCGTTGTGTGCGTGAAGGAGTGAGTGTGTTGTTCGGAATTGATGAAATGTCCGAGAGGTGACATGATGGACAGAGGTGGTTGCCTGCCGAGAAGCCCTTGTTTTGATTTTTTGATATCATTATTCGTCTTGTTATACTCATCTGCAATAAATGCAGTCAATAGTTGATGGGATTGGAACAGGTCCGGTGGTGCCGGGCAGGGTATCCATGTGTTTGCAGTGGATTATGAGGATCCGCGCGAAACCTGGAGATTTTTTTATCTCGCTGGTTTTTTTTTTTCCGGTTTCGCTCCGTCCTTTTTTTCAGTAATTAAATCCTGTCATGGCCAACCAATATTCGTCATGAAGAGTCTTGGGTGATACAAGAGGAGGGTCGTGTGTGGATATGGTTGATACGAAAGACGAGGGCTTTTTGGCGGTGACGAGAAGAGGTTTTTTTCTTCTTCTTCTTCTTTAAATTACATTCTTCTTTGGCTTTCCATTCTCCGTCGTGTGAAAGATGTTCTGAAAGAGAAGTAAAAACGAGAGAATAAAATGACTAGGAGAGCGAATCGTGTTGCAAGGAGAGCACCCCCCCCCCCCCCTTTCGCGTCGAGAGCCCCGAAATACAGGGACACGCCCCCGAAGCGGAGGAATGGTGGTCGCACTCCCCCCTTCTTCGGTCTAGTTCGGGGGACCCCAGCTTCAGTGTTCCAGGCCTACTGCTTTCTTTTTACTTTTTCTTACTTTTTTTTACTTGTTCAACAAGTTTAGTCCCTTTTTTTTTCTACAAAAAGGTGGTTTTGCTTTTTTGTCCTTTTTTTTAGTGTAAGTTACGGGATAGTTTGGTGGTTCATAGTGGCCTGAGAGGAAAACGGCTGTCACAACACCCCAGGGAGGGGTCATGTATCTCGGTACCTACCTCCAGCTATCTACCTACAAACGGGTGCACAAAGTCAGTGACGATACGGAGGATTGGGGAAGTACAAGACTGGCTGCCCCGAGTCAAGCAAGTACAGCTCGTGTAATTTGTACGAATTACATCTTGCATTTCTCCTTGCTGTTGGATTTTTCTCATTTTATTACGAAGCATCATGGTCAGCCCCAGCTGGACCGTGGTCCGTTTCCTGGTCCGTCTTTAGCTAATTCGTACTTGCCCCCCCCCATCTTTCCCGCTTGACGCTTGACGGACGGAGTCAGCAGTTGGTTATTCGCACACCATTCCCTCTCTTCATGTCGACACACCACCACCTTCAGCAACGCAAAATAAAATCAAAACTCCACCACCACATCCCTTGACCAAATCCCCCAGCTTGCAGCGTGCCAGACGGAAGGAGCCACGCCGCCACGCCCAACACGATGCCCGACTCGAGCCTTTTCTCTCACGCTATCACCACACCTCCCCCCTCCCCCAGAGACAACCAACCAAAAAA